GTAACTTTTAGATAACCTATATATTTGACATTTTCATCCAAAGACCTTTCAAATTCTGAACATTTTTTCTAAAGAGCTTGCTTTTTGCGATAAAAAATACGCCTAATTACCTCTCAAGAACCATCTTCTGTGTAATTATTTTTAAAGAGGTGTTAAATTTAATCACTACTTTTTAAAAGTCTTTAACTTTATCATCTTCTTCTAAAAGAGCATTTGAATTAATAAAGTTAAAATGTTCGTATGTTCAACCACTTTTAAAAAATACTTAAACTCAGTATCTTCTTTCTTAGGTCCTTTACATTTACATAATTTATTAAGAAAGCTATAGTACAGGATGGTGTTATGTGCCTGATATACCCTTAATTATAATAAAAAAAATCAAAAATATTTTGTTTGTGAGAGTTCTTAGTTTCGAGTATAGATTCAATGAAGTAACACTTTAAATCCACTGTTTTGAAAGTATGCAAGATGTAAGTCAGATAATTGGCAGTTAACCGCTTTTCTTGCAGGAAAGATAGCATGTGACATCCAGAGCTCAACTCTAAATGGATCCAAATCTTTGATGTGAGGCGTGTTTCATGTGGGAAAATATTTTAACATAGGAAAAACCACAGAGTAATAAGATAGATGAAATTTTCGTGTTGTAACCAGGGTATCAGTATTGCAGAGTACTGCCTTGTCTCTAAGATGATTTAGTATCCATATTTTTAACACTCTGGTGTGTACTCTGTTTGTCTTACATAAAAATATTTTCTGTAGAGGATGAAGAAGTGTACAACTCAGAGAGGGGTTAATCTGATATCAGGGCTGAATATTGTGTAGGAAAGGTGGTCAGATCTTGTAGAAGGCCTCTTTTGGATCTCAGACTTTTGCCAATGATGTGAAGGTTCCTCATAAACATCACCCTGCAGCCAAGTACTCAGAAGGGAGAGCAAGAGCTTATTAAAGCACCCAGGCCTTTTTTGTACCTCCCTCCTGAGGTAAAGCTCAATCAGCACGGAAGTCCATGCAATCAAGAATCATTTGAGTGGCCTGAGACAAAGGGTGTTCTGCAGGACTTTTGAAGTACTCGCCAACCAGAGAAGCACCATCCAAACTATGGTTGAGGCTACCTATCTGAGTAAAACATGAGACAAGCATTGGTGGATGACACTACTGAGGAGTAGTGGAGAACCCATTCATATTGAGAGATGACACATCATAACACTGAAAGTCATGATCATAGTACCAATGGCTACCAAAAGCCACCCAAACAAGTTGTCTTACCAGCAGGTGGGACAGCTACACCTATTGAATTGTAGAATCAGCAACATGAGCTATGTTGCCATCATGTAGGACTGGTATTCCAATTGCTTGATATAAGCCACAAGCATGAGCTATTCTGCCAGCAGGGGGACAACTATGCCATTTGCTGGCAAAAGCCGCCAATATGAGCCACTCCACCAACAAGTGAGACAGTTATTCACATTGGTTGGCAAAAATTACCAATGTGCACCATTCTGCAGGTGGGACTGCAACACTTAACAAGTGAGGAGAAAAGATGAGGACAAGGCTAGGAACTTCCCTGATCAGGAAGATAGCTGGCTGTTGAGCCCATATTCAGGAAAAAAATGTCATTGGTGGTAGATAACTACCAACAGGAATTATTTTTTAAAGACAGTGCATTGGGCTCTCACTAATGAAAACAGCAATTGGTAGGCCGGGCCAGGTCATAGCCTTTCAGAGAAGATAAAGATATCCAGCCATTCCAACAGAAAGGAGAATGGTGCAGTTGATGGACAAATTCCATCAACTCAAGCTATGATGTTGACTGGCATCAGGAGGGAACAGCATGAAATGGGGGGAAACAGAGACCTTCCCTGAGATGGAAAGCGATCTGTCAAGGCATACACTGATGTGAAAACCTGGAAGTTTTTAAGGCAGGTAGAAAAGGGGCATACAACAATTTAATAGTTAGCAACTCCAGGGATTAGTGTATATAATGATATGTAGATGTTGCATTTAAAATTATGTATATGCTAGG